TGGTGGAAGCTCGCATAGTTCTTCACAAACGTCATGAAGGTCCCGTTTGTCATGATGCGGGAAGCGGATGCTACAGCAAAGGGAATCATGGGGCGCGTCTACGACACCATGCTGCAACTCACCGAGGACCTGCATAACATCCTCGACGAGCAGGCGGATGGGATCTTGACGAGGAGGGAGGTGGGGGACATCAGACGGATTGTGAAGGAGAGGTGGGATGAAGCCCTGGTGTGCCCATGCACATGGTTGGCAGGATTTTGAATCCTGCCAACCAGGAATAGGGATCTTCCAAACAGACATCGAGTACACACCACGACCACTTGACCATCACCCAGAAGGACGGCGTGGAGCGTCGTGCATCGTTTGCACTGCATGGGGGAATCTCAGCGTTTCTGGACCTACAGAAAAGCTTTGGGATGCCTCAGGCCATTGCCGATCGTGCGGCACTGAAGGAGGAGAAGCAAACTGCCATAACCTTGCGGCACTTGCCTGCTGTGTGTGCTTGCAGCTGGTTTTCGCGGCGGCTTGTGAGAGGAACTGGGCCATGTGGGACGCAGTCCACACGGCCAGGCGCATCCGCCTAGATTTCGAGAAGTGCAGGGACCTAGTTTTTGTTGCGCACAACTGGCAAGTTGTGCACAACTCGTACTCGGTCCCTGTGGGGCTAAGTTGGCAGATACGTGTTTTCTGTATCATACGCTAGCGTATTATACGAAAGCGTATATACGCTATTCGCTAGTGTTCCAGCTCGAAATACGCAAAAATGTGCGGGAGCGGGTAGGGGAAACTTTTTTCCGGACAGGTTCCGCCCTTGAACTCTAGAGAGTGAAGGTTGCCATGGCAAGAAAGTACCAAAGCTAGTACAGTTCGAGCTTGACCAGAGTTGGACAAAATTCAAGAAGAGAAATGCGGGATTGAGTGAAAGACAGCGGTTTATGGTCCTGATGAGACTTTAAACAAGAGAAAGGGGGGAGGTTGGGTTTGGGAGGTTGAGAGGGTTGGTGTGTGTTGGGGATGTGGAAGTGGTTGGATTTTGAATTTCGACTCGCAGAATGGAGTTGGTTGTTGTGCGAAGTCGAGGGTTCAATTCTCGCCATCGCAAAATTTCGCAGCTTTTTTCGACGGGCTGCCCCAGCGCATTTTAGCGATTTCCAAGCGTAGTGGCGTATTTTGTATATTCGCAGGCGTATTCAGGACCCCCCCATTCTAGAAGGGTACATGGTGGAGGAGGAGGGGGAGGAGCTCGTTCTTGCCGATGACTACGCTTAGTTTGCAGGATCGTGGGGTGGAATGTCGAGCAGTAGCAACGAGGGTGCAGGGTGTGAGAGGTAAGGTATGGCATGATTAGTGTTGTAGGAATTTTGCTGCATTTGCGCATTCTTCCCAATGATAAATGTTACGTTAGATGACCGTAATCCAACTACTACAAGCCTTAGTCGATACTAAAACTCTCTCCTCGGGATCACCTCTTAGGGTCGTTCTTGGATGCCTGACAGAGGTCAGCCCATATCCAAGGGTCCGAGCTTGTAGAGAGATGGTTGTAGAAGCAGCTGAGTTGCAGTAGTAATCGCCACTTTCTGGGCGTAGTCAAACTGTGAAATTTGGCCGCGTTCTCGTAGCAGGCACGGGAGGAAAAATTCCACGTAAGTTTTTTAATGGGGACTACTTAGTGTGAATTAAAGGTGCTGCACTGGCACTCCTCCACTGCCCATGCACTCTGCACGCCCTCTCATCTACCCCTTTGCTGTCTGCTCCCATTTCCACTTCACGCTTTTAGGGTACTCACAGCTTCCACTACACCACCCTGTAATCTCAGTCGGTCCTCTACATTTGCTTGATTTTCTCTATCCCTCCTTCATTGAGAAATCCTTTTAAGCTCCAGCCACTGTCTGTTGACGAGGGTAGTCGACCTGCGGGGGGCCACTGCAAGGGTGCCGACTTCCGGGCGCCGGTTTTGGGTGGTCGACCAGGCGGTCGACCTGACCTGGTGGTCGACGAAAGGGGGAGCTGACGTCGACCTCGACAGGGGTGTTTGGGGATGCCGGGCTGGAGGGCGTCGAGTAGTAGGACGCTGAGCAGCTGGGCGTCAAACAGCAGGGCGCCGAGGTGCAGGGCGCCGACCTTGAGTGGTCGACGGCTTGGCGAAGTCAGCAACCTAGTCCTGAAGTGGTCGACGAGGGGACGCCGACCAGGGAAGACGCCGACCTGACGGCATTGACCAAGTTGCCCGGTCGACCCGGTTACCCGGGCGACGGAGCTTTTGCGGAGGTGTACGAAGGTCGCCGGGGTGGATTCTGCGAGGCTGGCCTCGGAATTGGTGTCCCGAGGTCGACATGGCTGGTGGGCGCAGTCGCTGGCGTGGAGTCTGCCAGGCGTCTGCGCTGTGCTCGTGACATGGGGTGGTGCATCAACCAGCAGCACGCAGGTGCACCGTTGTCCTGCGGGTGCAACGCTGTGCAGCCGACTTGCTGCAGCACACCGTGGACTTGCAACTTTGGCAAGCCGCGACTGTGCTCTGATGGAGCGCGGTCGACCAAGTCGTGCCGGCACGCGGTCGACCGTGCTGCACTGGCAGTCGATCAGCAGCTTTGCTAGGTCGGAGGACGTCGAAGCGGATTGACGCCGATGTCGGCGACCCATGTGACGGCAGGCGGGATCGCGTCGAGCTACGGCTACTTCAAGATATCGCCGGACAGGATCTCGGTCACCCCCATGCTGGTCGGTCGACCCGACATTCTCACCTGGATGGAAGCCATCGAGCCCCAGCTGGAGATGGCCGGCTGATAGGCTTCGCTAGAGGCACCGTGGCGACTGCATTAGAGCTCTACCCCGACCTACGTGCGGAGTTTCGCGTCGTGGAGCTGCTGACCTTCACGGTCATTTTGCGGTGCTGCTCGCCGGGCGTGCGGATCGCCTTGAAGCCGTGCAGGGAGTACCTTGACGTCGGCCACCAGGCGTGGCACTTCATCGAGTCAACGTACCAGATCACTGATGATCTGTACATCGGCCAGCTCGAGGAGCAGATGACGCATCTGTGGATGGGCGAGCAGGAGACGGCGACCGACTACTGCAACCAGGCCTGGAGACTTCTCGCCAGGATGGCCGGCGTGCAGTATTCGGCGGCGTCATACCTCACGCACGTTCTGAAGGGGCTCCCGAGCAGCTACAACCTGATGAAGCGGCTGTCGGCGGTGCCGAGCACGCGGGCGACGCTTAAGGAGGACATCTTGACCTCGTACATCCTGCAAGACGAGGCAATGCAGGAGGTTGAGCGGTCCATGGAGCTCCTGCCGCAGGCTAACTACGTCGCCCCAGCGAAGCAAGGTGGTCGCTTGGGGCAGCGTGGGCAGTCTGGTGGCGGTGGAAGCAATGGCGGGAAGTTGGCGAAGGACGCCGACAAGCAGAGGTCAGCCAAGGATGTTGGTCGAGGAGGAGGAAGTCAGCGCCGGGAGTGCTGGATTTGCCACAGCCCTGACCACCTCTCCTTCGAATGCCCCGATCGTAGTGACTATGACAACGACGACTCCAAGGAAGGCCGTGGTAGGTCGGTCAGCCGTCGTCCGCGTCGAGGAAGCTAGCCGCGCAAGGAAAAGCAGTCGAACAAGTTGACCTCGGCGAAGGACGCCGACTCCTCTGCTGACGGCAAGGGGCGAGACGACAAGGAGGCGTCGTGCTCGCTGGTCGGCGTCGTGGAGCCGACCGTCTTGCTGACACCAGAGGCCGGCGAGGATTTCAAGGCGGTGGCGGCAGCTGTGCAGGCGAATCCGGCGGCGGTCCTGCTCGACAGCGGCTGTTCGCACCATCCGATGGGGACGAAGGACGCCTTCGTCGACTAGAGGCCAAGCGGCGACGTTAAGCATGTGCGAGCCTTCAATGGGGCGCTGCAGGACGTCTAGGGCCGGGGCACAGTTGCCTTGCAAGGAGAGGCTAGGAAGCAGGTGTTGATCCCCTACGTCCTCTACGTTCGGGGCGTGCGGGCGAACCTACTGTCCGCCGGCCAGCTAAAGGAGAACGGCGTGAAGCTTGTGTCTCTTTTTGACAGTTTACGAGGAGTAACTCCAGCTTCTGAATTCCTTTGCCAGCAAACAAGCATGGAGAAGAACGATGATCATCCAGTCTGGAAACACTTCGAAGTTCCCATTGGTGGTAAATCAGATTCGAAGGTTATTAAGAAATGCAAATTCTGTAGAACTTTCGAAGGCCCGATCAACGCAACTCGTGCGAAGCACCACCTTCTTGGTGACGGCGGCGGTGCTGCTCCTTGCAACAAGATTCCGCCAGAAGTGAAGCGCGAACTTTTGGCAGCAACAGCGAAAAAAACGCGTAACGTCGAAGCACGCAAGGAGGCAACTAAGCGCACCGTTGATGCATTTTCTGGAGGGAGTGGCCATTCGGAAACCGCGGCCGTAGGTTCTTCAAGCAAACGGCCGGCGACGCAGCGAACGCTCACCGACAATCGCCCTACGCCAACGGATGTGGCCAACGCAAAGCTCGCAGTTGCAACTTTTTTCCATGTCTGTCGTATTCCGCCGAACGTGGCGGAACATGAGGCTTTCAAGGACATGCTGAAGAAGGCTACTGCGGCTGGACCTTCATTCACTCCCCCTGGGCGCAAGTTGATAATGGGTCGCCTCCTCGAGGATTGCAAGAAAAACACGGACGCGGCATTGACGAAGGTCACTTCGTCATGGAGCGAGATTGGCGTCTGCATTGCGAGCGATGGTTGGACGGATGGACAGGACCGTCCGCAGCTGAACTTCTTGGCGGTCAATACGCAAGCGTCCGTGTTCTTATTCGGCGTCGACTGCGGAGCGGATAAGAAAACGGGCCTGTTCATCGCGGAGCACTTGAAGACTGCTATCAACATGGTGGGAAGCGACAACGTTGTCGGGGTGCTGATGGATGGAGCAAGCAATTGCATCAGTGCGGCCAACATCATTAAGGACGAATTTCCGAAGATACAATACATCCGATGTGCTGCTCACTCCCTCAATAACCTTATGAAGGACATCGGTGCCCGACCTTGGGCGGCGAAGACCATCGAGGACGCGCAGGGTCTGATTTCTACGCTGAAGAACTCTCATTGGGTCACCGGTAAATTACGGGAGCAGAATTCGCTTGTTCTTCTCAAGCCGGCAGGCACGCGCTTCGGCACCAACTACATTGCTTTGGAGCGACTTCTTAAGGTGCGGGAGGTATTGGATCGGCTGGTGACGACCAAAGGATGGGAGGAACATGCGGCGAAGAAGGAGGCGGCGACGAAGGAGAAATTCAAGGGTGTCAAGACATCGGTTAGAGACGACAACTTCTGGAAAGGGGTCGAGCAAGTGCTGAAGGTTCTCAAGCCGGTTTACGTGCTGCTTCGAGAGATTGACGGCAACCAAGAGGTCATGGGATAAATCTACGACAAGATGTTTCGCGTGGAGGATGCGGTCAACGAGGCGTGTCGCGGATTACCTGCCACTGAGAAGAATGCGATCGCAAAAGCTGTGCGCGACCGGTGGAATGACGACATCAACTGTGCACTCCATGTTGTCGGTCGGATACTGTACCCGCCGAACCAGCTTGAGAAGATCTTTGGCGTGGACAAGGAGTGCTCAAGGATATTTCGACGATTCATTCGAGAATACTATGATGGAGAGGTGGTGGTCGATGAGGACGGCGACTCCAAGCCCATGGCTACTGTGATTGAAGAGGAGTTGATGATCTACCTTCAAGGCGTTGGGGAAATTGGGGATAAGAAAGCACGCGAGGATCACGAGCTCATCAAAAAGGGTAAGCAGGATCCTGTCCATTGGTGGAAATTCAACGGGTGTGATTGTCCCAATCTCTCGAAGCTTGCTTGCAGAGTGCTGAAGCAGTGTGTCTCTGCGTCAACCTGCGAGACCAACTGGTCGGTGTGGGAATCTGTTCACACTGTTCGCCGTAACCGTCTTGGTCCAAGGCGGTTGGCGGATCTTGTGTACGTCACCCACAACTACAACACCGTGCGCAAGCTGCATGCGGAACAAGCCAAGAATCGTATGGTTGCAGGAACGACAGTTGGACGGGTGGAGGAGGAGGAGAAGGACGATACCTACGAGCCACTCGATGACGAGGAACTCGAGGATTGCTGTTACGAGGAGTCGAAGGATGATGTTTAGTTAAACATGCTTAAGTTGTACTCAAAATTATAATTTCTATAGTTTTCCAACCACATGTGGATCCCCCCCCCCAAAAAGAAAAATCCGGGCAGCCCCTAAAAAAAAAACCTGCCCGGAAACGTAATCTCAAAACTGGAAGTCGAACGTAACGTAAAACGTACGTAAACGTAAACGTAAAACGTACGTAAACGTACGCGTAATATCCAACTTAGGGTTCAACTTCTCAGACTCCCATGGAACTAGGGACCGGTGCACGTCCGGATGTATCACACCTCCGCATCTTTAGTACACCCGTCTTGGTCCTCATTCCTTCCCAACGGCGTTCTAAGCTCGACGACCGAAGCACGGCCGACATCATGGTTGGATATGGTCATCTTGACGTCACCAAAGCTTACCGCATCTATATCCCATCTCAGCACCGTGTCATTCTTTCTCGTGATGTCATCTTCATGGTGCCCTCTGCACCACCTTCCGACGACTCTCGAGACCCTCCATCGTCGTCTCCACCCACATCCTCCTCACTACCTCCTCCACACCCTACTTCCTTGGCCCCCACCTCCCCTCCCTCTCCTTCCCCCATCATACCCTCCTCCGCCAACCCTCACCCACAATTTTCCAAACCTGCCCGCACCAGCCACATCTTCTCCTCCTCCATTGTTTTCCAACCTTCCTCTGCCCTCGACGCCGCACGACTTTCACCTTCCATCCTTCTCTCCTCCCTCTTCGCCTCCTCCTCCCCATTGCACGACTCGCTCCTCACCACCATCCTCTTCAGCTCTTCATGATCCTTCTCTTTTCTCCTTGCTCAAGGTCTTACCATCCCCTTCCGAGCCCATTGACTTCACTCTTCCTCCTCTTTCCAACACCTCCGCCAATCCTGCCCTTCATCATCATTACGAACCTCAAACCATTCATGAGGCTCGTACCGGTCCTGATGCTGCTGAATGGATCAAGGCTGCTGATGTGGAACTTGCTACTGATGTGGAACTTGCTGCCCTGCACGCTAATGACACCTACAGCATTGTTCCTCGACCACCCAAGTGCAAGCCGATTCCATGCAAATGGATTTTCAAGGTCAAGGAGAATGCTGATGGTTCTATTGAACACCGCAAAGCCCGCCTTGTTGTCAAAGGCTTCAAGCAACGTGATGGTGTTGATTTTCATGACACCTTTGCCCCTACAGTCCGCTTCACCACCCTCCGCTTGTTTCTCACCATAGCTGCCGCCTTCAACCTGGACGTCCATCAGCTGGACATCTCCAACGCCTTCCTCAACGGCACCCTTGATGAGATTCTCTACATGATGCAGCCTCTCGGTTATGAACTTACGGCGGTCCGTGGTGTTGAGCAAGTTTGTCTTTTGCACAAACCGCTGTACGGGTTGAAGCAAGCACCGCGATGCTCGTACCGCAAGCTTCGTGAGGAGCTTGCTGCCTTTCACCTCTTTGCTGCTCGTGCGGACCCCGGCCTCTTCATTGCTCCTCCTCGCTCACCCTATCGGCCTACGGCTGCATTCTTCTTCATGCTTCTCGTCTATGTTGACGACCTCATCATTCTCTCCTCCTCCTCCTCTCTTCTTGCCTCATTCAAGCATGCCCTTTCATCTCGCTTCAAACTTCGTGACCTCGGACCTCTTTCCTACTACCTTGGCTTTCACATCTCTCGTGATCGAACTTCCTGTACTCTCCACCTTCATCAATCCAAATTCATCACCTCCATTCTAGACACCTACTCATTCTCTCCACTAAACCCCGCTGCCACTCCCATGGACACAAAGTTTCAGCCACCCGTGACTTCCTCCCCGCACTCCTCCTCCTTCCCTTACACCTCGTTTGTCGGATCCATCATGTATGCCATGGTGGGGACCCATCCCGACCTCGCATATAGCGCTGGAGTTCTTGCTCGTCACCTTCACGATTGGTCTACTCCTCACGTCTCGGCTGCCAAGCGCATTGGGCTCCCTCCCTTGGGCTTCTCCTTGGTGGCATTCCCGACACCCTCGAACTTCATGGCTGGTGTGACGCCTCTTGGGGACCGGAGGGGGAGCTGCGTCGCTTCATTACGTGCTACTTGTTCTTCCTCGGTCCGTCGCTCATCTCTTGGCAGTCCAAACGCCAAGCTGTTGTTGCTACCTCTTCCTATGAAGCTGAATATTACTCTTTGGGCGCCGCGGTGCTCGAGGCATTATGGCTTCGTTCCCTCCTTACTGCAGTTGGACTTCCCCCAACCGGCCCCACCCGTACCGTATCTCGTGTGACAACAACAGTGCCATCATTCTCGCCAAGGACGATGGCGTCTTTCATCCCAAGGCCAAGCACATCGACATCAAGCACCATTTCATTCGCGATCATGTTGCCGACCACTCCGTCACCCTTCACTATGTTCCTACTCAAGACAACCTCGCTGACATTGGCACCAAGCCTTTGCCCCGTGACCCTTTTCTTCGCATCCGTGGTCTTCTCGGTCTCACCCATGTTTCCTCTTGAAGAACCCTACCCCGGGGACATCCTTGAGGGGGGGTGTTGTGCAAGCAAGAATGTCCTAGTGGGTAGATTATCACCTTTGGTCTTAGAGGTCGTGGGTTCAACTCTCAGCAGCTGCATTCTCTCTTCTCATTATGCCCAACATGACATTCCCACACTCACCCACAGTGAAGTGTGGTCACAGTTGGCTTTGCCATCTGTCCACTCATCCCATACTCTCCTTGCTGATCCCTATGGTGTGTCACATGCTGCCATGTAGGCTGTTGTTCCAGCCTGGACCACATGTGCAACATGTGGCCTCAGTTGCTAGCTTGGCAAGGTTGGCTGGCCTTGCCCTCAGCTTTGAGGTGCTGCAGCTAGCCTCAAGAGTTCAGCCACATATATGTGGCTTCCCACTTGTCTAGAAATCATCCTTGGCAAAGAACATTGCTCTAGCCTCTCAGGCTTGTACCATCTTCTTACTAAGAATATATTGTTCTTCTCTCATTGTGCCTTAACTTCACCGATCCTCATTCTACAACAGGTTTGAACCTCTCTCTCATTTCATCACGACCAACTCACCTACCCACTCATGGATTTAGCCCTTATAAATTGATCATGCCTTCCAAGTTTATGCCACCAAGACAAGGATTTGGGCCTCTCCTCTCATCACGTCCAACTCACTCACCCCCACACAGGGGTCTCAACTCCAACTCTTTCAAAGGCTCCATTCCCGACTACTTCTACTGGATCGATGCACTCACATACCTGTAAGAGGCACCCTGGGTTTTCTCTTTCTATGTGCATATCATCACTGCTGGCCAAGGTGCATAACATGTTATTTTCCCCGTTTTTTTTCTTCCAGGCTCTTTCTGTAACAAAACGTTTTCATAACAAACGACTAATTTGGTGGGAAGAAAGCACCTACTACTTTTCTTGTTAGGTTTCTAACCTGCTGTTGTACTAGACAAGACATGAGCAACTGGCGAACTCAAACGTGTTTTGAGTCGAAAATGCCGAACATGTCTTGCAACCGAACCGAACATCAAACATTTTTGTAGGTTTAAGGGTGTTCGATGTTCGTTTTGCAGGGGCGAACATTTCACAGATTTCTCGAACATCACCATGTTCGAGGCGAACCCGAAGATGTTCGGTTCGTAAATGGGGTTTCCCTAAGTCATCCTAGACATTGCTAGGCTGGGGAGCCTAGTGAAAAAAAAAAAAGACACAATATCGGTGGGAGAATGACGGGAAACACAATCGGTGTATTGTGGTTGGGTTTTTCTTCCTGGGCTGATGGGAAACACAATCGGTGGGGTGCGAGAATGGTTTCAATATTTCGCATTTCGCACGTTCGAATTGATCTGCATTGGACTCTATTCGCGACGGCGATTTCGCAAAATTTGCCCAACCAGCCAGCCCATCCATCCCACCCAAAACCGGCAGTACCACAATGCACCTCCTAAATCGAACCAGGCCTCATACACAAAACTAACGCAAGCAAAAACACACACTCACTTCACACGCTAATCTACTCCCGCTACTACGCTATACCTAATCCGCACACTACATCCAACTCTGAGGAATATATACAACCAGTACGCCAGCTTGGCATGCTATTTTAGACCCGAACACTTTACTGTTCAATGTTCGTCATACCATGCAAAAAAAGGCGCGACGAACCGAACATGTTCGAGTCGAATTGAACAGGCGTTTGAGTTTTTGCTCATGTCTATGTTGTTCCATAGGCGTTTGTTTTGTAAGTACAATGAGGTAGCTGTTTGAAGTGTTGGTGATGCACCAGACTAGGGGATGCTGTGAAGCTTTTTTATGGTTATTTCAACATATGAGTATGTATGTGTTACAAATAAACGTATATATTTTGTTTTCCCCAAAAGATACCATCAAACTACGTTGAGTAAGACGCTTAGGAAGGAGACGTAGACGCACGCGAAGACGCAGGCCGGTCGGCGGATCTTTTTTGGGCTACCCTGAAAAAAAAAAAAAACAAAAAAAACACGGAAACAATGGTTACCAAACGAAAAAAAAAAGGGGGTTGGATACGTTTTCTATCATGGCCACAAACGGAAACATGCAAGAAAGTTTTCGTCCTCTTCCTCCTACTGACTTTCGCCATCAACGTTGGCCCTTTTATCAAACTGAAATCATATTTTGGAACTGACTAAAACCGGTTAGAACGACGGCTTTTACCATACTGCTTTTACGGGTGTTTTTTTAAAACAAACAAACAAAAAACTCTGCATGCCCACTCCTCCCCCCCTCTGCTGTCTGCATCACTTTGTCACTCCTCAATCGTCCATGCTGCATCGACCTTTTGGTAAGACAAGGGCAACGAGGCGAGTAAAAAACTCGACTCGTTTTTATTACTCGTTTTAGGCGAGTAACGAGTAGGGCAAATCGCATATTTTTCTCGTCCGAGGCGAAGTGAGTAATGCTCTCGAGTAAAAAATACTCGCCTTTTACTTGTGTTTTCATTGAGTAATTGTGATCTCGCGAGTACAGATTGTACTCGCGATTA